TAAATATGTGTACTCTTTTTCCTTCACTAGGATTTTTTCCCACAGGGTTTTTTCCTAGTAAAGTTTTAATGAGGCACATTATCTTTTAATGAACATCCAAGGGGGAGTGTTATGAAAATAATTATATTGTGGATGTTCATTTATTACTCCGCTATAGATAATCTTCCTGAAGAAGATTATCCATTTAGTACTCTGTTGAAGTTTATCTACAAGCAGCTGATGCAGGCAGGTTGCAAGCAGCTCAATGAAATGATTTGCAGCAACTTCTTATTAAATAGGCAGGTTGCAAGCAGCTCATGCAGACAGCTTACAAGCAGCTAAAGAAAAGCCTTGCAGCTACTTCCTGAAAAGCCTCGCAGCTGCTTCCTTTTTTCCATAAATAGAGGAGTTTTCAGTTCATTATATACATAACTTTGAAAGTTGAATAAATATCAATCTCCCTCTATACTTGTCTTCAGTTTATTTCTTTTATAGTCTTTATTTTATAACAAAATTTATGTTCTGGCGAAAAACTTAATTCATTTGGGGTCGTTTGGTTGGAAACAAGTTATTCATGATTAATTTATTTCGGAATTAGTTATCCCATCCTCCCACGGAGATAAAAAAATACTACAATCCAGAAATAACTAATCCCGTGATTAGTTATACTACCATGATTTTATCACTGTGCTATAACTTTATCACAACCAAACAAAGATAAACTCATCTCAAATTTATCCCAGAATTAATTATTCCATATCTCTCAAACCAAACAATCCCTTAGAATACAAACCTTCAACTTAAATTTGCTTAAAATAGAAGTCTAAGAAGAGGATGGAAAGTATTACTTTTAGTTAGGGGTGTATAAATGAAACCGATAAACTGCACTAACCCGATAATCCGAGTCAAACAGAGAGAAAAAAATCCGACTATGGTTTGGTTTGATTTGATTTGGTATTGGAAAAAAACCCCGACCATATTTGGTTTGGTTTGGTTTTAACTAAAAAAAGTCAAACCGAAACCAAACCAACCCGACATTATATGTATAGAAGTTTTAAATATATTTAATACATAAAAATATTTATAGTAATGTAGTTTATAAATATTTCTTAAGCTTTTTTATAGTTTTATCTTTTAACGTATTATTTCAAGTTTGGGCTTATAATTTTTAGATGCTCCAATAAGTTTTATAGTCTATAAATGTTAGCAACTCAAATAAATCCTAAACCAAAATCAAATCAATACTAATGCTAATAAAAAATATTCAATTTGATTGTAATATGAATGAAAATAGTGTTGGATATCTATTTTTTAGTTTTTCCATAATTTAAATAAAATGTATAACTTATTTTTTTCTTAGTGGTTAGTCATGTAAATAATAGTACTTATTAGTCATAATTTTAAATTATGTTTGTTTTCATTATGACTTATTAATAATATTTATTTTATGCGATTTTATTATCTTTATTGTTTAATAATTTAGTACAATGCCATGACTCATCTTGTTACTCATATTTATGTTATTTTTATTGAAAAACACCTTATATAATTCTGCCTTATTAGGATTAAAGAAATATTTGGAGCACAAATTTTATATTTTGTGCTATGAAGACTTTATGAAAAAAAAACCCTGAAAAACCCGAGAAAAAACGAAATTAAAAAACCCAATTTTATTGGTTTGATTTGATATTTAGATTTAATAACCCGATACAATTGGTTTGATTTGGTAATTAAAAATTCGAACCAACCGTTCCATTTACACCCCTACTTTTAGTAATTCTCTAGACGACAATTTAACAATACAAATGCAATTTAAACAACAATACCACAAATCCAAATTAATTAGAAGACCAACGCTGTTCAATTAACTTGGAATATGTTAAACTCTTTGAATAGATAGTGCACTGGTGTGACTTAAGGATCAATAAAGTTAGAATAAATTATGGGAGACAAAGATTTTCAACATTAGTAGAAAGAGTTCCCGATACTTATATTGGTAAGAAAAAACAAGTACTGATGATTACTATCCTGTTATAAAAAATATTAGCACGAAGTATCCCATATTAATATAGGGTTCAGGAAAGGATCGCACTCCAAAATGTGTGATACCTACTTTAATATTTGCATCACTAACTGCTTCCATAATGCCTATAAGTCATACAAAACAATTTTACCGTAACTCTAAGAAATTATGTTTCATTGACGAAAATATATACTACTACTAACATATTTCTAAGGGCAAATCAGGAATAAGATTCAAAGACAATGACATGCTAGTAAGTTTTTGAACATCAAACATAAGCGTGTATATTTTGTCCTTCCCCGTGTCCAACTCCTTGCTTCAAATATCAATTTCCATTACGACATTTCCTCCCTCATGTCCTCTCTCTCATCTTTCTTGATCTCTTTTGTTTGAAGTATGTTTTTCAACAGTTAAAAACCAGTCCCCCTCTCATTTCCGACTTCTCTCTGTTACACTTGTCCACTGTGTTTCAATAACTGCCCAATTTTTGTCTAATTTCATATACTCAACATTTCCATTGCAGAATTATTTGCAAGATTTTCAACATCAAGAAATCCCCTTCAAGAATCAAGAAAAACAACCCATAAGGCCATAATTACAATGTTGTATAAAGGGTCATTGCTATTTTCTCTTGTAACTGCTTTCTTCATTTTCTCTTCCTTTCTCTTTTCATTTACCCTTGGATGGGTTGAGTCTGATTTTCACACATTCCAAACACCACCCATTTCAGGTATTATACTTTTTTCTTTAATTTCATTGTCAAAAGATCTCCTTTTTATGTTTTTTTTTTGGTGCTGATATTTGTGGGTATTTTTAGGTGAAGAAAGAAGTGAGAATGATGTGGTGGTTTCATGGGAAATGACAAAAAGGTATCTTGCTGAAAGTCCAAATGGTGAGCCTCCATTAAACTCATCACTTATATTGGCTGCTAAAAGAACATATAGAAAAGATCCTTTTGATAATTTCAAGAGATATACTGGAGGCTGGAATATCAGCGAGCGCCATTACTGGGCTGTAAGTATTCAATGTTTTTACCTTTCTTGTGAATTACTAACTGTAAATCTCTCTTGTGGGTTTCATTGAAGCATTTTGACTAACAGATTTCTGAATTATTTGAAAAAGGTTACAGCATAGGGTATTGTGGGTTGAAAGTTAAAACCTTTATTGCTTCAATTTTGTTGTTTGTTGCATTGGAAATGAGAGATAGTATTAGATAAATCACCACCTTGTCTGGTATTGTCTGGCCTTTGGAATATAAAATTCAAAATATCTGTACTTGTACAGGAAAAAAATTAATTTTTAAAGTAGTAGATTAGTGATGGTTAAATGTTCTGTGGTTATCTACTTTATCATTTTGTTTGAATATTGTGGAAGGGAAGTTTGAAAAGTTTTACACATCTTTTCTTGGGTTGCATAGAGAAAAGGAAATGGAAAAAAGGAAGAAAAAAATAAGAAATTCTTCACTTTTTTAATGGAGTAAGATCTCAAAAAAGTAAAATATTTCTCCAACCAAACCAAAACGGTATGCTCCTAGTTTTATTGTAAACTTGTTCGTTGCTTATTCAAACTAATAGAAGTTTTTGTTTGAGTTTTAAAAAAAAAAGTTCTAAGCAAAAGAATATCTGGTTCATTGCCTTTGCCCATTTCAAGTGATTTACTTGTTTACACGAAGTTGCTCTCAGTTCATTGCTAAGTGGTGGTTAACCAACTTTGTTGACTACAGAAAACGTCAAGACTAAGAAGTTTTTGTTTAATTTGGCAATAATACGATAGTCCGGATCATAGTCCTTAAAAGGATGAAATTTTTTCTTTCAGTACTCTGACGAGTTGAGTTGTATTACCATTATTGTTTTTAATGATGGACTACAATACTAGTAATGGAGAATCTCATCTGGAAAAATTTCGAAGATTAAAGTCATTATCCTTTGATTGATCAGAGCGAAGTATGTAATTGCATCTCAGAAAAGCGATCCTCTTCAGTGACTTAGAAACTTTTTGTTTTGCTTATCAATACGATTGATGATTTTGCCCATGCATTTCAACCAATTATGCTATAACAGGTCTTATGTGACGGTTTAAAATTGCCTTTTTGTGTAACTACAAAATCCATGGACAGAGAAATTTTTCATATTTCAAATGTTTGATCAATTTTTAGATATGGGATTCCCAAATCTTTATTATCGGAAAATAAAACCTTGTATATGTACTTTAAAATTGCTGTCCCACAATCTGTACTTCGCTGTACATTCTTCTTTTTCTCTTGACTTTTAGCAATGAAGGATATATTTGGTTATCTTTCCTCAAATTTTAGTTGCATAAAATCTTTGTTCAATTGTTTCTCATGTTATATTTGTTTTTGTGCAGTCTGTGGCTTTCACTGCAGCTCCATTCTTTGTCGTTGCACTGATCTGGTTTGTGATCTTTGGGCTGTGCTTAGTGTCCATCTGTCTCTGCTACTGTTGCTGTAGAAGAGTACCTTATGGCTACTCTCGAATAGCTTATGCTCTCTCCCTCATACTCCTCATACTTTTTACCATTGCTGCAATGTATTCATCCTCTCTCTCTCTCTCTCTCTCTCTAGCATATACAAATGTTTATGGCTGTGTATGCAAAATTGATATCCACTCTCACATCACGAATACTCCCACTTTACTCAACTTCTTCACCCACAGACACAAACATGTCACATTCCCTTGCTCTCTATTCTGATGTGCCCAATCTATAACTTAGTGTATTTTGTTCCTTGTGCAGTGTTGGATGTATCATTTTGTACATTGGTCAGGGAAAGTTTCACAGCAGCACAGTTAACACGCTGGATTACGTGGTCCATCAGGCAAATACCACTGCGGATAGTCTCAGAAACGTCTCAGGTTATCTAGCAGCAGCCAAACTTATTGCCGTGGATCAAGTTTTGCTTCCTGGTACAGTCCAAACAGACATAGACCGCATCCAAACCAAGATTAATTCTTCTGCTAATACCCTTGCCACTAAAACATCAGACAATAAGGATGACATAGCACGTTTGGTAGAGTCTGTGTAAGTGAACATTATAACAACCTTGTCCTTTGCAATTTATATCTATAGAACTTCCACAATTGAATTAAGATGTATCGATTTTGTCTATTTAAAACATTTATTTGTGGATCAGGTCTTTAAATCCTGTTGCCAACTTCTTTCGTGGTTCATGTTTTTCCCACCTTTGCTATGTTCTTGCGTATTTAATTGCACATTAACCCACCAAACACACATATAACTTTGCTGCTTAGGGTTCTAAAATGCCTGTGGTATTATTTATGCAGGAGATTGGCTCTTATCATTCTATCAGCCATTATGCTTCTATTGACATTTCTTGGATTTGGTAAGATGACCATTATATTTGAAATCTGAGTAAGAATTATTTAACAGTTTCTACTTCTAATAAATTTGCTCTGTTTTCTTTTCTCCTTCCAGTATTTTCACTTTTCGGCATGCAGGTTTTCGTTTACACGTGAGTGAACATTTCATATTGCCAAGCTGTTCTTTCTTTCAATCTTTCTTGTATTTCGTTTCCTTGGCTCTGTCCTTCTGCCTAAACGAATGCTCTCCTGTTCTATTTATGCAGCTTGGTTATTTTTGGATGGATTCTTGTCACTGGAACTTTAATCTTGTGTGGCATATTTCTTGTTCTCCACAAGTAAGTTCTGTTCTGTATTTGTATGATCACTAGTTTATCTGTTGGGAATTTGTTTCCCTGTTTATAAAAAACCTATAAGTCACTTTTTTGTCAATTCTTTACCAATGTCAGTCTTGATTTATAAATGTAGAACGTGAAACATCTCTAATTGTTTTCTGTTCGACATTTCAGTGTGACTGCAGACACTTGTGTAGCAATGAATCAATGGATCCAACACCCTCTTGCTCATACAGCTTTAGATGATATATTGCCGTGTGTTGACAATGCCACTGCCCAAGAGACCCTTACGAAAAGCAAAGAAGTCACTTCTCAGCTGGTCAATGTTGTTAACCAGGTCATTACAAATGTGTCTAATAGCAATTTCTCTCCCAACTTTGGTCCTTTGTACTACAACCAATCTGGACCTAAGCTGCCAACCCTTTGCAATCCGTTTAACCCCGACTTGACTGATCGATCCTGTAGTGCTGGTGACGTGGACTTGAGCAATGCAACAAAGGTACGTCACCTTAAAACTTCTTCCTGAAAAGTAGAAATCACCTCGCCTCTAATTTTTTCGTATCAATGCAGGTATGGAAGAATTATGTATGTCAAGTTTCGCCAAGTGGCATATGCGCCACAACAGGCCGACTGACTCCAACCATCTACGGCCAGATGGCAGCCGCGGTAAATGTGAGCTTTGGATTGTACCATTATGGTCCTTTCCTGGTTGACCTAGAAGATTGTGATTTCGTTAGACAAACTTTTGGTGACATATATAGCATATACTGTCCCGGACTACAGCGTTACAGCAAATGGGTGTACATTGGTCTTGTGATGGTTGGACTAGCAGTATTACTTTCCCTCACATTCTGGGTGATATATGGGAGAGAGAGGCGACACCGTGTCTATACAAAAGAACACATGCCCAAACCAGCTGGAGGATATGACGGGAACAAACCGATTTACGAGTAGTTAGCTTTGCCTTTTTGTAATGCTAGCTAGAGATGCACTGTTGTGTATTTTGTATATACTGATGTGTGATGGCTGTTCATAGAGCTTATGGTTATACTGTAAGATTAGGTTTCATTTCTTGGGGTTGAACTATCAATCTGTACTAGTTTTATTAACAGCGATGAAATGCAAACCCAGGAGTTATTAATGGGTGAAGCCGTGCTTTAGAGAAATTGAATGCTGATATTAGTATATAATTACCATACGATTGATATAGTACTAAATACATACATATATGTTTTTAAATATTGATGCACACTAGGAAGAAGCCAATTTCTCATCAACTTATTTAGATACCGAATTATATCATTTGAAAAGGAATATAGAAGCTTGGTGAGAGATAGCAGTTAATTAATGAAATAATGGTGTATGCAAGTTAGCTCGTACACCACCGTTATTAAAAAAAAGAGTATAAACACTTGATCTCTCTGAACCGGGAGCCTTCTACCACTTTTCCCTGATGCAGATGCATTCTCTCATCGTGAAAGAAATAATGAAAGGGAAGCCTAAAAATTGCTTCAGTTTTATGAGTTAATATAGCCACTGTCATCAGTTGTGACCTTTCCTTTTTCGTTAGGTAGAGGTATGCCTGAGAAGTAATGGAGAGAAGTGATTAGGCTAGACCTGTCATAATTCCTACTTAACGAGAACATGACCCTTAATAGGAAGGTATGAAGGACGATAATAAGGGTAGAAGACTAGTAGGTAGTCGATCGTTTCTCTTTGCCATAGTAGTAGCTTTAGTATTATTCATGTATTTTCTTACCATAGATTTCTCTTACTACCTCTTTCTTTTGCTTCTGCTATCTTATTATCTTGCTGTTGTTGCTGTTTCTCTTGCATGGCTTTTCCACTACTGAATTTCTTTTTATAACAGTCATGATTTTGCTTTACTTGAGCTGAGGATTGTATGGGTCAAAATCTGTCTTTAGAGTATTTAAGTCAAGATAATACTCAAGGAAGAGTTCTCAAGTCATCGTTAGTCGAAGTGACCGAAGAAGCAGCAAAGCCCATGGTTGAAGAGTCGACGAGAGCCGTAGCTGAGATGTCGACACGGGTCGAGGTCGAGGTTGAGTATCGTTGATAGAACTGTAACGGATAGTTTTAAATATATGATATTAAAAGAGAATATTCTAGTGGATATTCTCTCACTTGTACTATTAGGATTTTTTAGGAACATGTCCCATATAAATAGAAAAAAGAGACAATGATAGGGGCATGTGATATTCATTTGTAAAGAACACACTTTGATTAAAAGATTCGTCTTTCTCTTGCTAAGATACAAACACCACATTTTCACTAAGATTCTTGTCCATACTTTTCTATCAGATCCGAGAATAACTCAAAACATTCAAGGATTTGTCTATCATTCATCATTATCAGGAGGAACATCCACATGTTCCATCATTTATTGGGCGAATCATTTTTCCTATTTACTTACATGCCATTTATTGCTATTTATTGTTATTGAATACTACGTTATTGCTCTTGTTTTCTAGAACATTTATTACGTATTGATGTCATTGTCCGACCGAACCATCTAACATTTATTGTATCTTTGAAAACTGGATATTATTGTTAACTAAGATTAACCCTTAATTATATAAATTTAATTATTTGAACCAAGATACATATTTTTGGTCAAACAATTTGGCGTCGTCTGTGGAGATTTCTTAGTTAAATTTTTAGTTTCCTCTAGATCTACAATTAACAGAGGTCACTAGCGTAAAAAACGAAAAAGAAAAGAGAGACCACCTTTCTTTGTGTACACCAAATCCAACATGGTAGGTAACCGAGAAGAAAGGACGAGAATAACAAGTGACCTCCCAACCAACTTCATGAACGTCATCAACGAAAGCTGTGAAATGACAGATGAGGGCATGACGCCCAGTGCATCCCCTAGACGAGACGGGTCACCGCCCCCACACAGTAGCATAACAAAATCCCATGGTAAAGGAGCCTCCACGTCTGTGGAGGAAGGGACGCCCCCAACTGTGAAAAGATTTCTCGAAGCGTGGCTAACTGACATGCTAACAAGCGTCCTCAACAAGCCCTCTCAGGGTACGGCTGCAGAAAATGCAAGGACTTGCACGATACAACAAACAGACGAGCAATGTAACCAACCCTTTCCTCCAACGACAGGTATTACTCACAATGTCATTGATAGTGTAGGTGACAACGCCCTCACTGCCATTCTAAAAAGGATGAAAGAAATGGAGAATGAAAACAAGGCGCTCCGAGATCAAATGAAAGAACACCAAGAAAGGGTGGATAAAATACCAGGCGCTCCTAAGCTGTTGCCGAAGAGGGACGCCGGCCGGTTCGTCAAACAGACGTACAGTGATGACGGAACCCCACATGCCATACCAAAGACCTTCAAAATGTCGCTCTACCTCAGAATATATGATGGCACGACCGACCCTGAAGATCATGTGACTCATTACGTCACCGCCGTTAAAGGCAATGATCTCGCCAAAGAACAAGTATCTTCCATTTTGCTAAATAAGTTTGCCGAAACCCTCACAAGAGGGGCATTAACATGGTACTCGCAGCTACCAGTATGCTCCTTTGAAACTTTCGAGAAAATGGCTGATAAGTTCGTAACAGCCCATGACGGAGCCAGGAAGGCCGAGGCAAGAGTGAACGACATATTGCTATTAAGCAGTCCTTGGGAGAGGGACTAAGGGACTTTCTCGCCCGGTTCAACCGAGTGAAGATGACTCTTCCAAAGTATCAGAAGGGATGGCGGTCGCAGCCTTTCAGAACGGGCTGAGTAGAGATGGTTCAAGAGCAACTAAAAAATTATTGAGTCGGTTGATGAAGTATCCCCCAACCACTTGGGACGAAATCCAAAATTCTTGGTGTCGAGGTCCGCGCAAATGAGGACGACCTCAGCGGACCAACTCACTGATTAACCTCGGTACAAGCCGAATCAAGAAAAGGTCGAAGAGATAACTCCAGAAGAGATCATCCAATTCCGCGACCTAACAGGGAACGACATCAACCATATATCAGGACGGCCATTGCGCCCTCCCCCCGCTACGAGGAAGGTCCGTCTAGACCAAGGACGGGAACTCACCGAAACGACAGAGGTATGCCTCCCCTGTTATCTGCTCACAATGTTTTTTATGTCACCTACATAGATAGTTTACGCTCTCGAGAGGCTCAGACCGAAAGTTAAATGGTCGTCGAAGATGAGATCGGACCTGAACACCAGTAAGTTCGACGCCCTATGTGAGTTCCACTAGGAACGAGGACACAAAACTGAAGAAGTCGTAAACATGCTGCGACAAGGGCACCTCAAAGAGTTACTAAGCGACAGGGGAAGAACTAACTTTGCCAAAGGACGCGAACACCAAGGACCGCCAAAACCTCCCTCAGCAGCTCGTACCATCAACATGATCATCGGCGGTAGCGATGACGCCTCTATCAACATCGTGATGTTCACCACTACCCACAAACTCAAGCGATCTATCACCCGCAAACGGTACGACGAACTCAAAGAAAGTATCATCTTCGACAAGTCAGATGCCGACGGTTTGACCTTTCCTCAAAATGATGCTCTCATTATTACATTACATATTTTAGATACCGATGTTAAATGCAATATGATAGATGACGGGAGCGACGAATGCATTATCCATCTCCGAGTGCTTACCCAAATGAGATTCGAAGATAAGATAGTGTCGCGCTGCATCACGCTAACTAGTTTTAATAATGCAGTTGAAGAGACATCCGGGGAAATTACACTCCCCGTTTTGGCCGGCGGCGTAACTATGGAGACAACGTTCCATATCATGGACCAGGCTACCGCGTACAACGCCATAGTGGCACACACATGGATACATCTCATAAAAGCCATCTCCTCCAGGTCATACCAAGTAATTAAATTCACAACTCCATGGGGGTTTTTCAGTATACGAGGAGAACAACGCACATCACGATAATGCTACCGTATGGCCTTAGATGGCACAACCACCCAACAGAGAAAGGACAAAAAAGGAGGCATAGCAAACAACAGGGTCGAGGTCAGAGCAAGAGAAAATAGAGAACGCTATCAAGGACCCTGACATGGCCGAAGCCGCTGGTTCAACCATAGAAAACCTCGACCCCGTTCAGTTGGATCTTAACGACCACAATAAGAAGGCCTATATCGGCTGCATGCTTCGGGAACCAGGTAAATTCAATCAATTCTTAACAACTAACGTAGATTTGTTTACTTTCAGCCATGCAGATATGTCAGGCACCCCAAAGGAAATCGCCACGCATAAATTAAATGTCGGCCCACTTCACCCGTAGTGAGGCAAGTCAGACGTAAATTCAACTCCATAATTAATGACGCAGTGCGTGAGGAGGTGGAAAAACTGCTGGAAAATTGTTCCATCAGGGAATCGAAGTACCCAAATGGGTCGCTAATGTAGTGATGGTCAAAAAGAAGAATAGGAAATGGCGGATGTGCATGGATTTCACAATTTTGAGCTAAGCATGCCCGAAGGATTCGTTCATGTTGCCACATATCGACTAACTCATCGATGCAACGGCCGGACATGAGCTACTAAACTTCTTGGATGCTTATTCAGGCTATAATCAAATCCTTATGGAAGAAGAAGATCAGGAGAATACCACGTTCATCACCCACCAAGGAACGTATTGCTACCGGGTCATGCCTTTTGGACTAAAGAACGTAAGAGCTACTTATCAAAGGTTGGTGACAAAGATGTTCAAAAACCAGCCCAGCAAAACAATGGAGGTATATATAGACGACATGCTGGTCAAGTCCAAAAGGGGATAAGATCATATCGATCATTTGAAAGAAACTTTCGACATACTCCGACGGTACGGAATGAAGTTGAACCCGAAAAATGTGCATTCGGTGTAGCCTCAGGAAAGTTCCTGGGCTTTCTAGTATCATAGCGAGGGAGCGAGGTCACCCTCAACCAAATCAAATCCATTGAGGGTATACCAAAACTCTTGACCACCAGGAAACAAGTCCAAAGGTTGATCGGTCGCATCGCCGCCCTATCGAGGTTCATCTCGCGGTCGTTGGATAGGTGCCATAAATTCTTCGGCGTACTCAAGAAAGATAACAACCTCGAATGGACTTCCAAATGCGCCCAGGCCCTGCGAGAACTAAAGACATACCTATCATCTCCGCTTTTGCTTTCAAAACCCAAGCCGGGGGAGCATCTCTTCATCTATCTGGCCGTATCTGAGGAAGCTGTTAGCGCAGTCTTAATTCGGGAAAACAAAGGTACGCAATCTCCTATCTATTACATTAGCAAAATACTCGTCGACGCAGAGACGAGGTACCCACACCTCAAAAAATTGGCTTTGGCCTTAGTCGTAGCTTCACGAAAGCTTAGACCATATTTCCAATGTCACCCCATCTCGGTCGTCACGACCTTCCCCCTCAGAAGCATTTTACATAAAACCAAACTATCTAGAAGACTGGCCACGTGGGCTATCGAGTTGAGTGAGCACGATATCACTTATCAGCCGCGAACGTCGATAAAGTCACAAGTGCTCGCCGACTTCGTAGCCGACTTCAGCGCAAAGATAATGCCTGAAGTTGAAAGGGAAGCCGTCTAAACCTCCCTCCAAACACACGACCTTTGGGTCCTATACACCGATGGCGCACCAAGTCCCAACAGGCAAAGTGATTCGCCAGTCCATAAAGTGCCCGGATATAACTAACAATGGAGCAAAGAGGTTGAATTTGCGCTGCGATTCCCAGCTCGTGGTCAATCAAGTCACGGGGACTTTCCAAATCAAGGAACAAAGGTTGCAAAAATACCAGACTGAAATCTGCAAGCTACTGCCTGAGTTCGACGAATATCAGCTCAAACAAATCCCACGAGCATAGAATATCGAGGCAGATAGCCTCGCCAAACTAGCCGCAACCACCAAAAACATCACAATCGAAGACAAAAATGTGGTCCACCTCCTCAACTCATCACTAGACCAAGTCGAGGTAAGAACCATAAACCTAATTTGGGATTGGCGTAATAGTATTGTCGCATACTTGCAGGATGATACACTCCCTACCGACAAAAAGGAGGCCAAGAAACAAAGATTGCAAGCGGCCAGGTCCAATATCTTCCACATAGATCAGTACAAAAGAACCTACGACGACCCTCTGGCGAAGTGCTTGGGCTCGAACCAAACTCAGCGCGTCGTTGAAGAAGTTCACGAAGGCCATTGCGGGGCACGCTTCAGCAACCGGGCACTAGTCAGATGCCTCATATGGGGAGGATATTACTGGCCCACCATGAAAAAGGATGTCGCAGATTTCGTAAGGCGATGCGAGCAGTTCCAAAAGTACGCCCCAATGATTCACCAAGCAGGCAAACATCTCCACTCAGTCACATACCCTTGGCCACTCATCAAATGGGGAATGGACATCGTGGGCCCCCTACCAGCAGGGCAATGTAATGTACGATTCCTTTTGGTTTTAACTGACTATTTCTCTAAGTGGGTGGAAGCAGAAGCGTTCGCCTAAATACGGGAACAGGAAGTAATCACTTTTATATGGAGAAACACCATCTACCAATTCGGCCTTCCCAAAGAAATCATTTGTGACAACGGACCCCAATTCACAGGAGAGAAAATCGTTGAATTCTTCGAGAAATACATATCAAGAGGATACTCTCGACCCCATACCACCCCGCTGGTAACGGACAAGCAGAATCATCCAACAAATCAATACTAAACATCATGAAGAAGAAGCTCGAAGACGCCAAGGGACTGTGGCCGAAAATACTACCAGAAGTATTGTGGGCCTACCAAACAACTCTGAAAACAAGCACAAAAGAGACACCATACTCTTTGGTCTACGGGACAGAGGCAGTAATACCAGTTAAGGTCATAGAACCCAGCCTAAGGTACTCCCACGAGAGCGGCATGAGTAACGACGAGAGCAGAAGGCAAGAACTCGATGAAGAGATATGGCCTACATAAGAATGGTCACCCAAAATCAACAAGCAGAACACAATTACAACAATAAAGCAAAGGTCAAGCCACTCAAAGTCGAGGACTAGGTACTGAAAGCTAAAACTCAAGCGAGCAAAGATCCCAGAAAAGGGAAGCTAGGAACAAATTGGGATGGTCCATATAAAATCACAACTGAAGCAAACAAGGGTTCGTTCCAATTAGAGACAATGGAATGAAAGCTACTACCAAACAATTCGAATATCAGCCACCTCAAATACTTCAATTTCTGAGATAAAAATTGCCCCCCAAGCAGTACTCTTTTTTCCCTCACTTGAGTTTTATCCCATTTAGGTTTTCTTAAGGAGGTTTTTAACGAGGCAGCAAAGGGAACGTTTCGAGTCGAAGTACACGAAGGTAGGGCCGTGGTTACTATTTCATTGCTCGACCTCTCACTATTCTCCAGATCAATCAATGAAGGGACTAGATAGACCGACACTGGGACTGGAATGCCAGCCAATACACAAAAATCTATAAATTTCTCCAAATATGTAACAAAAGCAACAATGTCAAGGAAATAAACTTTACACTTATCGGCACATCTTTATCGTATTTAGGTTATGTTCGACCCCGCTCGAACTAACACCTATCGGCCCTCAGCCGCAACTTAAATGAAAGTTTATATTCGACCTTGCTCGAACTAACACCTACCGGCCCTCGGTCGCAACTTAAGTGAAAGGTTATGTTCGACCTTGCTCGAACTAACACCTACCGGCCGTCGGCCGCAACTTAAATGAAAGGTTATGTTCGACCTTGCTCGAACTAACACCTCCCGCCCCTCGACCACAACTTAAAGTAAAGGTTATGTTCGACCTTTCTCGAACTAACACCTACCGGCCCTCGACCACAACCTAATGAAAGGATATGTTCGACCCCACTCAAACAAACACCTATCAGCCCTCAACCGCAATTTAACAAAAGTTCACGACCAAACAATTCGACGCCCTCGGCCATATCTCAACACACAAAAAAGGAAAAAGGTAGCCAAACAACAGAAGAAAAAAACATACAAGTACAGAAAATAAACCACAAGAAAGGAAGCAGATGCAGAGGCTCGTGAAGATTCCGGAAAAGATACACAAAAAGTTTACAAAAAATAAGAATAAAAACTATTGATCGCCACCATCATGATCTTTTGTGCCTTCACCGCCTTGGCTATCTATGCCCTCGCCATATTGATCCATTTCGCCACCGTCACCTTCGCCCTCAGGATATGCAGCATCATACCAAGCATTCTCCTCAAGATGGTCCACACCCTCGTCCCACTCGCCATCACCGGCCTCAGGTGTGGTGGGATCATACCCACTAGTGACCCGAGCCTCACGGGCCTTAGCATGAACATCATCAAGATCAACCGTATAAATGGATCCCGCCTTATACAAATCTCGAAACACGTCCAACTAAGCCTCGACATGAATCCATTCCTCATATAGGTCCTGAGGAACGTTGGGAAAATATGAAGTACGAGAAGAAGATGGTTGTGCAAGCAGTTGGGCCTTCTCAGTTTCCATAGCGGCCACCTGACGATAGAGGATGGAATTGCCTTTCTCCAGCTCTCTGATCCTCTCCTCTAGTCGATCCTCTTTGACCTTCACCGTGGACTGGTCAATCTCCTGCTCAGCCCGGAGAGTCCTATTCACCAACTCTAGCATCTCTGATTTCCTCCAAGCCCCCAAACGGGAAGACTCAACCTTCTCAAGCTCACTCTGCTTCTCGACGACTTCACTATTAGGAACCATCTGAAGCTGACATTCTTACAATTGCCCACGCATCTCAACCACTTATGCCTGAAGGTCGCCGCACTGGGCCTCCACGGCCTTGCTGACCTCAAGTTCCTCTTCCCTATTCCTCAACGTCCCTCAAAGACGCTATCGATGACTTTCACCAGCACATCGTCCTTCTCCTTCAACTCATCACGAAGGGCCTGCAAAATTCCCGGTACTTGTTGCGATACTAGAAA